GCACGCAAAACCTTACATTAGAGTGAATAAATGAAGACTCGGCACACCGCTTCTGAAAGGTTGCCGACCCCTACTCTATGTTATGGGCCTGATTTCCCCACTCCAGTTTTATGCCAAAGTGAATCAGGCGTAAAACTAGACTAAGAGTGACTGACTTTTTCTTCTTCTTCTGTACTTGTACTCTTAGGCACTCTAATGATACAAATTATAAGAAGAGGCCAAACTCTGATCTGAATCACACCGGTGTAAATCCAGAGTAGCTGTTGATTTCAGTGGTGTCACCTCACACTTACACTCGTGCAATAGATCAGAATCTGGGCTGCAGCTCTCACAGCTGATCTCTAACAATGAAGCGGCAAAGCGCCTTCTCCTCCCCCTGGCTGTGCAGGGCGATTTGCCTTGATGAAATCCCCCACGCTGTGTGGCTCTGTTTTTATGTGCATAGGTTATACGCCAATAATCTTTTTTACAAATCCCAGGAGAGGGGGAAGCTAAGCAGTTCCTCGTGGCTTGTTTCCCCTTTCAGACCTCTAGCGCTCCGCCAGCACCACCTAATTGCTCCATACAGGACCTCCGAGGTTTCCTTCCCTCTGGCTCCCGCCGCCCCTCCTGGAAGGCTATTGCACATGGTTACAATTCTCTGCCTGCAGACAGCTTCCCAACATCTGTTCTAAATTTGCTGGGGAGATTTCCAAGTTAATTTCTTGCCCCCCTTCCCCTTGTCCCAGCATGGTCTGAAAATAGTATAATATAAAGTCCAGCACAGTTACTATTTAAGAGGTAGGTAACTCAGTCAAACCTGCGGTTGGCTGCTATCCGAGCCTACTAATGCTGTTCTAGGTGGTTGGGCTACCTTGCACTCATAGCTCATACGTAGAAAATGCCGTGAGCAAACTTCATGGCACCCGAGCAAGGGCTCCACTACATCATGTTCGTAAGGCAGTGACAAGGAGGGAGAGCACATTCCAGGGGGCTGGATACTTTCTGTTTCCCTTAGAGCTCCTGCTCTGCAGCCCAATGTGCTGTCCATGAGAGTGTGTATTTCTCCGGACGTGTGCGTGTGGTAGGCGTGGCCGGCAGTGGAGGAACATATGGGATGTTACGGAGGAGCGTTTAAGGAGGCATCTGCACTCGGTTTGCGGCCTTGTCCTGAGGAGGAGTCTCTGAGCGTGCTCAAGATGATCCACGGTCCCACTGGGTACATGAAACTGTCTGACAGTAACAGCTTTCCCGGCTTCCTTCCCTGCCTCTCTTCACATCCGGCTGCTTGGCTGGGAAGTAGGCTGCCCCAGATATGCCTCATTTGATAGCAAGAAGGTGGGCTGGTCCTTCACTTATCGCCCCCTGGTCTAATTATTAGGTATTATTATTAGCATACAGTTATATACTCGGCACAGAGGTTCATTAAGTTCTTTCCTTGGGATGGAGACAAGAAGGGAACCCACTAGGAGATTCCTGATGTAGGATTCATTAGGTGGGACTCCCCTCTGCACTTTCCATCTGAAAATGGCAGAAGCCCGCCCAACAGGGCCTTGACCAAAAGGAGAACGAAAAATTAACAAATCAGAGATTGTTTTGGTGCCTTTTAAGGGACTATTCACTATGCTGGCATCTGGGTTTTACTGCGTTCTTGATGGCCGGCTCCAAGCCAGTCTCAATGCATTATGGGTAGGGCCCTACCAAATTCATGGCCATGAAAAACGCGTCGCGGACTGTGAAATCTAGTCTTCCCCTGTGAAATTTGGTCTTTTGTGTGCTTTTACCCAGATTTCAAAGGGGAGACCAGCGTTTCTCAAATTGGGGGGTCCTGACCCAAAAGGGAGTTGCAGGGAGGTCCCAAGGTTATATTAGGGGGGTCGCAGTATTGCCACCCTTACTTCTGTGTTGCCTTCAGAGCTGAGTGGCTGGAGAGCGGCGACTGTTGGGCAGCCGCCCAGCTCTGAAGGCAGCGCCACCGCCAGCAGCAGCGCAGAAGTAAGGGTAGCAGTACTGCAACCCCCCCTACAATAACCTTGCAACCCCCCCCAGGCCCCACAACTCCTTTTCGGGTCAGGATCCCTACAATTACAACACTGTGAAATTTCAGATTGAAATAGCTGAAATCATTAAATGTAACAATTTTTAAAATCCTATGACCATGAAATTGACCAAAATAGACCGTGAATTTAGTAGGGCCCTAATGATGAGAGGTTTGAAAGGGCTCGGCTCGTACATCTAATTTCCCCACCAACTGGGTTAGAAAAGCTGCTCTTGTTTTAGCTTTCCAGCATTAACACCCCACTGGCCCATTTCATCTCTGCCCTAACTCCACTGGCCTCAGTGAAGTAGATGCCAGGGATGAATCTGGCCCTAAGTTTTAACACACAGCTGCACGGTATCTTCTGAGATCTCAGAAGGCTCTTCCTACTCGCGGTTGTTAATTTCCACTGCCACCATCAAAATGGGGGGGGGGGGGAGTTAGCTATTCATCTGCACACCACATTGTGCCAACTTCCCCCAGCAAATGAAAATCCCTCCCTGTTCACCCCCTGCTGTAAGCTGAGCCTGAGCAATCTTGTCAGGGCCATGAACCATGCAGGAACTTTTCTGAGGCTTTTTTTTACTTCCAAGGCTTTTTGCAGCAGAAATTGCTAAATTTGGATCCCCTTCCCTGGGTGTGCTGCTTGCAGCAAGAGGTGGTAGAAAAGTCCTCATAGAGCCCAAAGCTGGGGTAGGTTAGTGTTAGAGCATAGGCCTCAGACTCCTGGGTTCTGTTGCTGGCTTTGCTAACCTCGGGTTGGGGGCAGTCCTTATGAGCATGTGCACACACATATAACTTTACTCACGCGAGTAGTTCCTGTAAGTAGTTTCAGGATTGGGCCCTATTTTATCACATGGCTCCGTGACTCAGTTTCCCCATCTGTAAAATGGGGATAATAATACTTCAGATGGGTGGCATGAGGCTTAATCCACAAATGTTCGTAAATCACATTGAGAGCCAGGGATGAAGGTTCAGGTATAAATGCCGGGGGTGTGTGGTACTACATGGACTGTGACAAAAGGTACTTAAAGCATGGGGTCTGGGACACTGAATGCCTGGGGAAAATCTACCAACCATTCTGCCAGTCTGTGAGAGTGCTCTTGTCTTAAATGCCAGCCAAGAAAGCCAATGGCATTTGTTCTAAGGGAGGAACTAGACTCAAGATTCCCAGCATGACAGCTCTCAAATTCTGGGTACTGCTGTAATTTCTATTAATTATCTTTACAGTAACAATCTTTGGCACTTATACAGCACCTGGTCTTATCCTCAATATACAGATGGGGAAATCAAGGCACAGAGAGGTAACACATGTTCCAAGGTCTGAGGTTTCTTAACTCCCCCTTCCCTGTTCCCTAACCACTCGACCTCCCTGTTACGTACAGAGAAGTCATGGGCCTAACCTTCCACCCTACCTTCTGACTCCCTTCTAATTAACTCCAGCTGTGGGCGACTCGCTCTTTTCAGTACTTAACACTTGGTGAGACTTTTTTTTCCTCCCCAGAAAATCATCTCAGTTTTGATGCCAACAGCTGAGCTTGATTTAGCCCTTGCGTGCATTTGCAATAGCAATAATAATCATTGATACCAACGACACGCTGGCTTGGTTCCATCTTCTTCTGTTCATAGTTTCACTGCACTCTTTTCCCACCCCCTCCTCGGGTCAGCTCACGAAGATCTGCTTGTGAGTAATCTGCTCCTGGAGGGCATGATCCTGCCAAACCCTCCCTGCTGTGCGACTCCAATTGAAGTCAATGAGGCCCTTAGACTTCGAACTCTTTGGAAGAGTGGGCTTGCTTCTCCACTGCTCTGCACCTGGTCTCATTTGCAGTTGGGCAAGGCGGCTGGGAAGCTTTACCCTTCTGATGTGGTGGTATCAGTGGGCACTCCCTTTCCATAGGGTTATACAAGGACACAAGCTACCTGATACAGAACAATCCAGACCATTGTCTTATACGCTTGCAAAGCACTCTACGCACACAGGCCCTCCTCCTGCAAATTCTTATCCAGGTGCTTAACTTCCCCCCTCAGGTGCCACAGAAATACTTGGGACACTACGGACAGGGGCTGTTTCTCTTTTATTCCTGAGATAGAAACTGCCCTTTCATATCTTGCTTATTTAATCCAGATTCCTGGGAGCGTGTCCGCCGATCGCTAGGGCTAAGTAACGGGTGGGTATGTGCCAGGGAGTCCACTTCTGCAGAAGAGGGACCATAGGTGCTGGAACTGGGGGTGCTGCTGCACTCCCTGGCTTGAAGTGGTCTCCATTAAATACAGGGTTTACAGTTTGGTTCAGTGGCTCTCAGCCCCCCTGCTATAAAAATTATTCCATCCCCCCTGGGAGGGACATCCCTAGAATTAACCAGGGTCGGGCACAGCCCCTCTGGGTCTAGCCTCGGTAGAGGGAAAACCTGGGGGGGAGCCAGGGTCTGTTTGCACCCACAACACACAGCCCCATTGCAAATTAAACCCAGAGTCTGGGAGGACCAGCGGGGTGGCGACTGGACTATCCCCTTGATCCAAAGGGGCCTGGGCAGAGCCGCCCTCTGCCAGCCAGCTCCAGACCCCTGCGCCCTCGGGCGCCCAGGCAGCGGGTGCCTTGCACCTCTGCCCCCACGTTTGCAAGAAGCGGGCCCCGAGCGCTGTCCACTTCCCACCTCCGGACCTTTCCAAGCGGGCTGCTCCCGGGCGCACCTGCCTCCTGCGCCCTGGGCGCATCGCAGGGTGCCCGCGCTCGCCTCTCCAAGCCCCCCCGTCTCCACCCAGGCGCCCGGGGAGGGCGGGGGGGGGACGAGCCCACTGTCTCCGAGCGGAGGCTTGTTGCAGTATTAAAATAATAACGCGAGAGTTGCAAGTTGCTTCCCTCTTCCCCGACCGTAAAACTGTCAAAGGTAGCCGGGAAGGGGGGCGCGGGGGATCGCGCACGAACCAGCGCCGCCTCGCCCGCTCCAAGCGCGCGTGTGTGTGTGTGTGTGTGCGTGCGGGGGCCCTGGAGAGCTCGCCACCAGCACCGAGGTAAGGAGCCCCCCCCCCCTTGGCAACCCGCCCCCCCTCCCGGCCCTTTTCCACCCTTGGCCCTGCTTTTACTCCGCCCGGTCGCCCCCTCCCCGGGCCCGGTCGCCCCCTCCCGAGGATTTTGCTGCTTCCTTTCGCGGCGCGCCTGGGATTCCTTCCCCCCCCCCCTTGCCTTCTCTCTCCCTCTCCCTCTCTCCTCCTTCTACATAAAAAAGTCGCCATTTTGCTTCACTGCCTTTTCCTCCTCCCCTTAATTATTTTTTTTCCCAGGCACAAGAAATAAAAATAGTTTTCGCCCCCTCCCTTTTGCAAAAAAAAAAAGAAAAGAAAAAACCCCAACCCCACACCCCCTCCCTTTTTCCTAGTGGAGGGTGGACACTAAACCCAGGGGGCGGAGGAGGCGATCTGGGGGGGGGCTGGGAGTGCTGGGGGCGGGGCTGGGAGTGTAAGGGGGTTTTTCTTTTTCTTTCTTTTTTTTTGCAGCGTTGGCACTTTAAAGAAGGGGGCTTGGAAGTTGCTCCCCTGAGTCTCACTGCAGCCTCCCCCAGCGGTGACAGGTGACATCCACGTGGGGCAGCCCCTGCTGCCCACACCTTAGCCTGGGGGAGGGACCGTAAGGCGGGGGGGGGGGCCTGCGGCCAGCTGAGCTCCGGAGAGGGGGGCCGGAGTACAGGCAGGTGAGCTCAGCTCACACCTGGGCAGGACACATGGCAGCCAGGTGGGCACAACTGGGCAGGGCAGGCCAAGGTCATGTGAGTCATGTGGCCGCCAGATGGGGAACCCCGGGGGATGACAGCCAGGTGGGCACCGGGAGGGGTAGGTCAGGCAAAGGGCAAAGCATGCAGGCAGGTAATGACATGGACAGACAGGGACATGACAGCTGGCTGGGCTCCCATAAGGATGGAGTAGATCAGAGACAGTACTTCCAGGTGGGCACTCCCGTGGCCCAGACCACGGATGTTATATCCACGAGGACATTGACATGGGCTGGGCAAGGTAGGGGCATTTTGTCAGCTGAGCACTCCCAGCAGGGACATGGCAGCTGGCTGGATGTTTTCATAGGACGGGCTAGGTCAGAAACATTACAGCTAAATTGTGCCTTCTATAAAGCCAGCCCAGAGACGTTCTCTCCAGGTTGTCATTGTCGTGGGCAGGCGAGGTCAGATCTGGGACGTTACAGCTGCATGAGCACTCACATAGGCTGGGGCAGAGACTTCTATGCCAGGTGGGTAGTCGACTAGGGAGGCCAGACAGGGCTGTGAATCCCATAAGTCAGATTAGGTTAATTCTGTTTAATGTCTTTTAGGTTTCATGCTTTGCCATCAGCTTTGGTGCCAGGGGGCCGGGATCTAATATGTTTGAAACAGAAACTTTAAACCATCAGAAGCTTTTTGTGTGTGTGCGTGCGTGTGTGCACACATACTCATTGTGATGAAAGATGGGCACATTTACACCCATTTTAACCTGGTTTTAGGTCTGTCCTTTCAAACCGCAGTACTGAATGATATCAATGGAAAATCTACCAGCCCTTAATTCCAGCGCAGCTTTTGTGTGGCCGTGTTGTTCCTCCACTGCTGGAGAAAGAAGGGAATTAGTCGGTTAAGTGCCGTGTGCCTATAGAAAGCGTAGGGATATCTGTATAAAACACGGAACATTTCTGTAAGAAAGTTACCAACTAGCGGATCAGCCCGTGATTTGGAGAAAGACTAACAGAAATTGCTGTGGAACTAGGGAACTGCTCAGTCCATTCATCAGAGCGTTGCCCTGGTTCCCGTCGACAGCCAGAAGAAACGATAATCAATACTGAGGGAAAGTGAATTGTCAGAAACTCACAAGAACAACAAACATCAGTTTAGCCCATTGGTTTCTGCTAGCTGTTGTTTCTGACTCTCTCCTCGTGCCGTTAGCTTCTGCGTTCTCCAGGGCAGGGATCTGTGACCTTTTCGGCACCGTCCTACCCCTGAACAACGCCATGAACATTTGCAGCAGTTTATAAATGATTAATAATAAGTAAAGCAAGTGGATATTGGCCTTCTGCACATCAGGTGTATCCTTTGCACTATGATTAGCACTTTACCTGAGAAGGTCACGCTGGTATGCCAGGGGAAAGGGATTTATTAAAGACCTACAGGCCATTGGCATGTGGCCTCACTGGGGCCTGTTAGGTCGTGGCAATGAGTAGCTAGTGGGGATCAAGCCAGGAAATGCTGGGTTAGATAGTAAGGGCCAAATTCAGGTCAGTGGATGTAACTCCATTAACTTGACCCAGCATATTTAGTGATGAGCGGAAACGGACGGGTTTTTATGCACAGCACTGTTTTCCCTCTTACAGTTAGTGTCACATTAACTCAAATAGCCATAGATTTCCAGGAAGCAACATGCCAACTTCCTATCTGCTACCTTGAAATGCCAATATCTGTGTGTCAACACTGGTCCCCCCGGACCCAGTGACATCAGATCAGTTCACAGGACAGAGAAAAAAATTGTCTGAAAAAGTTAAGTTACTGTGGTAGCAGGTTTACCTGTGTAAAACACGACAGACTTTAATAGGACTTGTGCCAGCTTATGCCAGGGCTGAATATGTCCTGCATTAGAGTGAGACACACTCTCCAAGCCCCAATTCATGTTATCCAGACACTTTTGCATGAAAGCAAGTTTGAAAAATATATGTAGATTTTGTCACCTTGTACAATTAGATTTTTCAGAGCCCGCTGGTAAATAGTCTCTCCCTCATTTGCTTTCTCCTCACTCCCATCCTTGGTCTCTGCATTATCGGGACTCCCCGTCCTATTGAGCTTTTTGAATCTTTGCTCCCCTCTTGTTCCGCCTCATCTGGCCGTTTGTGTTGGTGAGAGAGAGTTCGTTTTTGGAGTAAAAGACATTGCATTGTAGAATGCGCTGCTTTAAAAGCCTTGCTGGCAACTCCTGGCCCATGCTGCTCAGGAGAGCGCTGGAAACTTGAACTCAGCTTCCCTGTGTAGAAGTTAGGTCTGAGATCTCTAAATCACAAGGCTGGTCCATCTCTTCTACACTGCAGGGAGTCCGCTGGATCAATTTCTTTGTTCCAATGTCATAAACATAACTCCTAGCGCTGCTATATTTCAGATCTGTCGATTTCCCCTCTTCCTCCCCATTGTGAATCGCAACAGGGTTTCAACCAAAAGTTAAGGAAAGGGTGGAAAGAGGTTGGAAGTAATTGATCACCTAGTTCCAGCATGTGCCATGAAAGAGTGAGAAGTTTGGTTAAAATATGATGAGTTGATTTCTGCTCTGTTACCCTGGTGCGACTCCACTAAATCCATCAAGTTGTACCAGATTTGGCCCCCATGTAGATATAAGTAATTTTGTTATTATTTTAGGCTAGGAGGAAAGGTGTCAAAAGCAATTAGGTGGAACATAAAATATGTTGGAGAGTTTCTAAGCTGCCCCCTTCCCCCCCCCCAAAAAAAAGTTTGTTGTAAGAGAGCGTGTGCATTAAATGGAGTGAACAAAGTGGTTGGTTTGGTGGTACAGGTACATTTTTTGTTTAAAAGCTGTGGTTTAATTTTTGGAAGTGAAGTTTTTCGAGGCATCAATACTCAAACTTCCTCAGGCTCTCATGGTTTAACTGATATTATTATTAGGCGTTTGTTTAAAGCGCCTGATTTTCAAAGGTGCTAAGTACACACAATTCCTATTGAAGTCAATGGGAGTTTTCAGGTGCTCTTCATCTAAGACCCCCAAATGCCTGGGGGTTGTCCTTGCGTGTTGGTAGCTGCTTCCCATGTCTGGGGGTGAAACGCCCCCCTCTGGCATTCACACCTCACATCTGCAGCCTGACAGGAGACCATGTGATATGATTGCTCTCTCTAAATATATCAGAGGGATATATACCAGGGAGGGAGAGGAATTATTTAAGCTCAGTACCAATGTGGACACAAGAACAAATGGATATAAACTGGCCATCAGGAAGTTTAGACTTGAAATTAGATGAAGATTTCTAACCATCAGAGGAGTGAAGTTCTGGAACAGCCTTCCAAGGGGAGTAGGGGGAGCAAAAGACATATCTGGCTTCAAGACTAAGGGTATGTCTACACTACAGGATTAATCCGAATTTAGATAATTCGAATTTGGGAAACAGGTTGTATAAATTCGATTGTGCGCGGCCACACTAAGCACATTAATTCGATTTTTAACCACATTAATTCGGTGGTGTGCGGCCACACTACCCCATTACTTTAACCACAGTAATTCGGTGGTGTGCGGCCACACTAACCCTAATTCGAATTAACAAAATCGATTTAGGCACTACTCCGCTCGTCGAGGTGGAGTACAGAAATCGATTTTAAGTGCCCTTTAATTCGAATTAACTGGCTCTGTAGTGTGGACGGGTGAAGGGTTAATTCGGATTAACGCAGCTAAATCCGAATTAAAGTCGTAGTGTAGACCAGGCCTAAACTTGATAAGTTTATGGAGGGGATGGTATGATGGGATAGCCTATTTTTGGCAATTAATTGATCTTTGACTATTAGCGGTAAATATGCCCAATGGCCTGTGATGGGATGTTAGATGGGATCTGAGTTACTAGAGAATTCTTTCCTGGGTGCTGGCTGGTGAGTCTTGCCCACATGCTCAGGGTTTAGCTGATCGCCATATTTGGGGTCGGGAAGGAATTTTCCTCCAGGGCAGATTGGCAGAGGCCCTGGGGTTTTTTTTGCCTTCCTCTGTAGCGTGGGGGCACGGGTCACTTGCTGGAGGATTCTCTGCACCTTGAAGTCTTTAAACCATGATTTGAGGACTTCAGTAGCTCAGACATAGGTTAGGGGTTTATTACAGGAGTGGGTGGGTGAGATTCTGTGGCCTGGGTTGTGCAGGAGGTCAGACTAGATGATCATAATGGTCCCTTCTGACCTTAAAGTCTATGTCTATGGTGCCTGGAGAGTCTGTCATGGGACCTCCATTCCTTGGGTGAATTTCACTATACGTGCATGATGGGGCTGTGGTTAGAACCAAGAGAGTTC